GTTTTTTGTTACATTTTTATACCATTTTCACTTGTTATTCTCAGTTTGTATGCATCCTTTATGAATGTCTATTGTTCTCTGTTTAAATCAAGTCTCTCTTGTAAATGAGTCCCTGAGGTTCAATGGGACTAACCCGTAGAAATAAAGGTTGAATGAATGAATGCGAGTCTCTGGCCTCTTTGGGCTACTGTTGAACTGCATTTTGCACCTTGCCAAAGAGTAAAAAAAAAAAGTAATTTCCTTCAGCCTCAGCTAAAAAGATTTTGACCGTGTGAAAATCCCTGGAGGAATGTGATGCTTGTGAAAATCATTTTAAACCTTCTTGATATCAAAACATGTCACTTATGGTGTTTTTGAGAAAAGCAGGCTGGTAGGATTAACTACAGGATGGATCTTTGATATATGGAATCCTTGGTGAGACATCTTCAATTAACAGAGCAGTTGTCTTTGGTTACCTTCCAGACCTGGGTGAGCACAACTAGAGGAATGTTTGAACACAGCCTTTGTTTCATCACGTACAGAAATATAATAAAGTGCTATGTGTCATCATTGTATGTTCCCATACAAAGATGAAACTGGCTCTCTGCATTTAACCCATCGCACCTGGAATACGCGCAGGTGGAGCAGTGGGCAGCTATGTAGGTGCCTGGGGAGCAATTTGGGATTGGGTTTCCTGCTCAGAGACGCCACGAGATGTGCAATGACCAGGGATTGAGCCCAGGACCTTTGGGTCCAGAGTTGGCTGCCTGCCTCTACACCATCTCGGCTCCAGCTATAGTCTGATGGATGACACCAAAACGTCCTCGGACATCACATTGAACAAGATTCATGTTGGACACAAACCCAACGAGTGTCTCCTGCAGGATGGGGACATGATTGGCATCAACACTATGAAGGTCACTGCAGGAATTAATTTAAGCTAACCCCCATTTAAGCTCTGCCTCTGCGGAACTAAAATCCTTGATGGAGACACAAAAGGATCTGTCAGCGAGGTAAGATCTGAACCAATTGAGGGCTGATCCTGTGACACCCACCCACTTCTCTAACCTAGCAATGAGGCAGCAATGTCTCAGGGCAGTTTATAAAGACCGGGGGCAGGGCCCACACAGCAGGTGGGCGTGGACTAAAGTTTTCAGTGCTGTGCTGCACAGAGGGGAAAACCCACTAGAGACAGTCTGAAAGGACTAGTCTATACAAAATAGAACAGAACTTTAGTGAAGCAGCTCAACTTAAAACAAATCTTTGTGTTTTTCAGGTAAAACGTCACCGATGAAGAAATACATGGGTGTCAGGATGATGAGCCTCACTCCAACGTAAGTTCTGACATTTTACTCACGTTTGCAGTAAAATCAAATAAAACCTGTCAGAGCTGTGAACTTTCAGAACCTTCTGGTTAGAAAACTGAGCAAACCAAGGCTGAAAATGAAGGGAGTGAATGTGAGGCCGTGGTGTGTGGATGCTGCAGAGCTTTCTTTAAAACTTGAAACCCTCCAGAGTCTCAGAGTTCATCAGGAGGACATGTTGGGATCCAGGATGAATCAAAACCTTCAGCCTGTCCAGCTGGTATGAGCTGTGTGTGCTGGAGGAAAAACCTCACGCTCTGGACTGTTTCCTCCTCAGGCTGGCGAAGGATCTGAAGGAGAGGCAGTCGGATTTCCCCGATCTCACTTCAGGAGCGTACGTCATCGAGGTCATCAGCCGAACTCCAGCCGAGGCGTGAGTGGTGTTTTTCGCCCTCGTTGTGTTTGTGAGGTGTCTGAGCTCAGCCACGAGCTGCACCATGAACAACATGCTGCTCAATCATTAACAAAGTCAGGTCCTCTGAACTGGATTCTTCTTGCTTCTTCTTTCATCCAAAGGACTTCTTCAGTCCGAGGAGCTGCAACAAACTCAGTCTCTTAAACATCACCTTCTCAGAGTGGATCAACCAGTTTGCTGCTGACAACCAGAACCAGCTGATCACATGATCAAGAAGGACCATCAGCCTAACAATGGATCATTAGCACCTGATGGCTGTTTACTGTTCACAGAGGGCTGAGTGATACTAGCAATCACAGCATTGTAAGAGGGGGACAGTTGAACCTGGAGGCTCCACCCCTGTTTAATGATGGACGGTTTCTTTTCACAAAGATGGCCTCCTTTACTCCTCTCTCAAACCATCGTTCCTCTCTGTCCAGGATGTGAACATCTTCATCCCTGAAAGAGTGACCTCTGGCCTGGAGATGAGTGTAGACCTCAGAGTCCTGGCCTGATGATGTTGATCTTCTGTGCTGGTCCATCCTTTTGGCCAGTGGCTGTTTAGTTTCCCCGATGTAAGACTGATCACCTTCCTGACACTGAACAGCATACACAACATTGCTCTGTTTGTGCCGGGGGACTGGATCTTTGGGATGAACCAGTCTTTAATGTATTTTGGGGTTTAAAAGCCACTGGGACGTTATGTTTAGAAAATAAACGTCTCAGTTTCTCTGAAAGAATGACCACTGGTCTGAGTTCCTCCTGATGGTTGTCTGGAGTCCTGTTTGGGTTTCTTCTTCCAGGAAGGTCCAGTTAGGAGCACCTCAGACTGAAGAAGTCTTTTGGATAAAAGACAAAATGTTTCAACAAGAAGAATCCTCCAGAGGATCTGACTGATCTTCACTAAACCATGAACGATGTTTACCTGAAACCAAACCGCACCTGAAATCACAGCAGGGAAAGATTACACACATTTAATATGTTTTATTTGACTCTGGGTCTAAGGAGATGTTTTGATTTTGTAAAGTTGATAAAACTGAGTGACGCAGAAATCTGATCATTTGAGAAACAGAATGTTTTTTTCCAACTTTATTTAAACACATAAATCACACTGAGCCTCGAAGACATTTACAAGTGAGACCTGTTCAGACGGACACAAAGAAATGTCCTTCAGGCAGAAGATAAACGACCTCACATTTACTGGAGCTGATTTCTCTTTGGCAGAAAAGCACCACAAATAAAAGTAAACAAAAACAAATAAACAAAATTTAAACTTAAAAAGACAAATAAAAACAAACTACAAAACGTACAAGAACTATTAAACATATAAAATTTTGTCCTATGACTTTTTTTTGGCAAAAATTCTGATGAACCAGAGGAACCCTCCAACAACTGGTCTCTTCTGGTCCTTCAAACCCTCCAACAA